CCAAAATGTCGCACGCCACGGATGGCGTGGTGAGGAGCTCGCATTTCCTTGAAAACTTCGTCTTCCGCAAGGTCTTTTTTGATGTCCCGAACCACGCAAGTAGTGATGCCTTCAGGGCGTTCACCTTTGTACCGCGCAGGTTGTTGACACCTAGGGGGGCTGGTAAAATATCTTCCATTAGGATATCGACCGCCACAATGTTCTTCCAATCGTTGAATCGTATTTTCTTGAGTTTTCCAAGAGCGACGGCACTGAGGAGGGTGCTAACCTGTCCCCTGTTGATTTTCTTGATACTTGCTTCGTCTGTAGGTCTATATAGTAGATAAGGATGGCTAGTTCGGCTAGTTTGTTTTGCTTCATGGTGTAATACGCCAAAAGAAAAACAAAAACACGGACGAAAAGGAAGGGACAACGGGATAGGACGCGGTTGGGCATGAAGGTATGCCGTAAACACGATACGCCGCATCCTGTCCAGTTCTCTCTTCGTTTCCGTGTTTTTTTTTGTCGTATTACACTATTGTACATTAAGTGTACCAAGGCTCCATGTGTTTATGGGGTCTGTTCGGTCATCCCGAGTCAATTATAAACCAATTGCACAGGTGTCTAACTTTTCTGTTGTCTTTGAAAAATAAATTTTAAGTGTGTGAGTTTCCATTTAGGCCTATGTTCAGTATGCGCCAGCATGGTTTTTGTCACAGACGATCTGTTCAGACAAACCTGATAACCTTGGAATTTGCAAAGCCTCTCGTTGGGTGCCGGGGGCAGGTAGATGTAATTTATTTTTACTGTTTTAAAGCTTTCGACCGTGTAGATCACAGCCAATTGTTACTAGAGTTATCCAGCCTTGGTGTTGCTTTTGGTTTTTGTAAATGCTTTGAAAACTGCCTCACGGATCGTTCAAACACAGTATCTTACTTCGGTCACAGGTCTTCTAATTACGTCCTTAAATCCGGAGTGCTGCAAAGATATAAGCTTGGACCGCTACTTTTTAATGTATTTGTAAATGACCTTGCGACTAGTGTAGACAATTCAGATGTGATTCAATTTGCTGACGAAGTTAAAATATATCGTATCACTAGCACTACACCAGTCTGTGAGCTATTGCAGCTTGGCATTGATGCCATTCATCTTTGGTGTAATGCAAATATGTTATTTTTAAATCTTGTAAACACTGAAGTTGGGTATTTTTCACGCAATTCTAATATTATTTTTTCAATTTTATACATTAGATGACTCTCAGATATTAAGGTCTTCAGTTGTGCGTAATCTGTAAGTTTTGATTGATTCACACCTAAAATTCCGTGCTTATATTAGTAAAATTTTCAATGATTTGTTTCGTTTGCTGATTGCAAGGTGTAATACCATGTATTACTGAGACCTTTCACAACTATTCGTGTATACTACATCTTTTTCGGTCACTAGTTTTGCCAAAGTCAAAATTTTCTTCAAATGTATGGCATTTCCTAGGCGTAAATTAAACCCACTGTTTGGAAAGTTTGCAACGACGGCTTGTTCTATTTGTGTATGATCGCCATATTGGACGTGAACTTTATTATGATAATGTGAGCTTTTTAGAAACTCTTTGTCTCCCATCTTTTTCAGACAAAAAAATAAGTCGTTATTAGTGACTCCTCTTACTGGCCCTTATTGACTCCGTTTTGTTCTCAGTAAGGTTTCGTTTAATGTTCCCCGACGACAACATAGGTAAAAAGTGTTTTATTACTTAGGCTCCTTGCAATCTGAAAGTCCCTGGTTTCGTATGCAATTTCTCTATGATAAGTAGGGATGCCGCGAACCACCCTTGGTTCGAATTCGAAAGGTTGCGATATTTTGAAACCAAACTGGGGTTTGAATTCGAAAGATTTTCGATATTTTCGACCGTACGAGGTTTGAATTCGAAAAGTTCGCAACTTTGAAACACTGTGGAGCTTCGAACGCGAAAATTTCGAAGCTTTCACGCTTTCTAAAAGTTAGGGTTCGATTATTTCAAATGTTGTTTTGCTTGAGGTTCGATAAATTTGAAGATTTCGACCTTTCCTAGCTTGAAATTCGAGAAAATCTAATGTTCTGAATTTCTTAAAATCTAAAATTCAGAAAATCGAAGATTTCGAATTTCTCTGAACTTGATGCTTGAAAAATTCTAAGATTTCGCATTTTTTTACTCAGAAATTTAAAAACTTTGAACGTTTTGAATTTTATAGACATAAAGTTCGATAGATTCAAAGATTACAAATTTCTTCCTATATAAACTTTGAAAAGTTCGAAGGTTTCGATTCTCTTTTAGAGCTAAATTTGAAAAAAAAACTCCAAGTCCAAGTCCGCAAAGTTCGAAGTCCCGTTTTCATGTTTCTCCGCAGTTTGAGTTTCAAATAACGTTTTTACGCCTCACTGGTTTTCGCGAAATCCGGTTTAGAAAAGTTCGGGTGTGATATTTAGACTGCGCGAAGTTGGTCAGGCAATTGAATCAGACGACGAGTGTCGTATGTGCTGGAATATTTGCAAGTGCATATGACGTGTGACTCTAAATCAGTAATTGTGACCGCTAGCCCGGGGGAAGGCGTGGGGGGTCTTTAATGTGCATCACACAGTAGTGATCACACGAACGCACTGTTTAACGATACTCATCCAGTTCGAAACCGTCATGGGCAGGCAGGTGGTTGAGGCTCAGAAAAACCTTAAAGCGATCCGGCAAACTGCCTCCCTACTCCCTAGCACCCCGGCAGCAAACCGATCGAACGCCGCCTGAGGGACGCTGGCATATAGTAAGTTTAGTTTGTACATGATGCAAAATCCTGGGACTGGGAATGAAATTTGAAAGAAAAAGTGTAACAAGACAGAAAAAGGGGACAGGACAACGTTTCAAACTCAGCTCAGGACAACGTCCCAAACTGAACTCAGGTGAGTTTGAGACGTTGTTCTGTCGCCTTTTTTTTTACTTCTTACAGTTTTGCTTTGGAATTTCATTCCCAGTCTCGTGATTTTGCATCATAATCAACATACACCAGCTCGCCTGCCCCTTGACAATTTTTTAGTTTGTAATTACTTTAAAGGTTTATTTTCTGGGACGGAAGAAACGCCGATCATAAAGCACAGAAGCCGACACAACTCGAGGTCGAGGAGCGTTCTTCCATACCAGTGGCGTCGGAGAGGAAAAACGGGGTAGAGGGTGGAGGGGACGCTCCAGTCCCCCTCCCCCCTTTCCGACAGATATTTCTTACTGTTGTGGAAAACAATACGAGAAAAAAGCGCGTGGTCGAGCTTATTTTAATCTGCAATTGTTTATGCATATCTATAGCTACTGTCGCTCTTCACTGCATAAAAGATCGCGTAGATGGTCATTGTCAGAAACTCGATGTCAGAAGGCACTACTCGTCACATGCTCAGTGGTTCGGAAGTTTAAAGCTATGTCTTTTCGACCTAAAAAACTGTGCCATTAGTAAAAAATAAAATAAAAAATAACAAAAATAAACATAATAAATGCGGGGATGAAAAGCTGGAGAAAAAAATATCAAGAACCCGACGGAAGTGTTGTATTCTTGCATATTCAGAGACCCTGAACTTCGAAACAAGTTGCTCCTACCAAAATGTGTACAGGCTAAAAGAAAAACGCCCCAAAAACGTAAAATGACAAAATAAAAAAAAATTTAAAATGAATTTTTTTTATGACGTGCTGAACTTGAACAATATCAGAAATATTTTCCCATGAGTTAATTTATTCCTCGACGTGAAAAAAACATTAAATACATTATTTTGTATTCTGCTGGTGTGATTTTAAATGCGATACCTGAAACAATTTAGACGGAAAAATTACCAAGTTTAAGGCATAATTGCCCGTAGATACATGTTTGGGCATTTCTTCGAGACTCGTCTTGAACAACAACAATTATATTTTAAGACGGCACTTACCTAGGCTATACATAGATCATTCTTAAAAAAGTTTAACATATCTACTATAAATTGCTTCGGCTATAGCGCTCTCCAAATATGGCACAAACGACAATTGTCAGAAACCCGTCGTCCTTCCTTGCTTCTTCGGGAATTTATTTCTTTAAAACAAAGCATGCCACAACATTGAAATAAACGGCATTGTCTTTCGAAAAAAATGCGGCACCGTGTGTAAAAATGCACAACAAAAAAAAACATTACGAATGTACCTCACTGCTTGAATTCAAGTGAAACCACCCGCCACACTTCCGAAGTTCGACAAACTTCGAACTTTTACCCTAAAACTTTGAAGTTCGTCGATCTTTTGACTTCTCAAGATCCGAAAGTTTGAAAATTTTCGAATTCTTTAAATAAATAGGCTCGAAAGATCGAAAATTATCGAACTTCTTTAAATAAATAGGCTCGAAAGTTCGAAAATTATCGAATTTCTTAGCATAGCAAGCTCGAAAGTTCGAAAAGCTTTGAACTTTTAGTGCAAAAAATTCGAAAGTTCGAAAAACATCGAATTTTTTTTTGTCTCTCAAGTTCGAAAGCTCGACAAGCATTGAATTTCGCACTGTAAAAAGTTGGAAAGTTCGAAACGAATCGAACTTTTTAGCGTAATAAGTTCGAGGTTTCGAAAGACATTGCATTTCTGAACGTGCAAAGTTCGAAATTTCTAAAAGCGTTGACTTCTTAGTTTAACAAGGTCGAAAATTCGACTTCCGAAGAATTTCTCGATATAGAAAGGTCGAAAATTCGAAATCTTTCGAACCTTTCAAACCGCTTGATTTGATGATCGAGCCTTCGGTTAGAAAAAAATTAGCGGCATCCCTAATGATAAGTCAAATAACGCTGATATCGACCTTTTACGTCCTTTGAAATGTTTAAGAAAAGGGTACGATCAATGATTGCACAATATGGTGCGACCATATTCGTTTATTGTTTTTTTATTGTTAAAAACGATATGTACATGCAAAGCTATTTAAGCCTTTCAGCTGTTTGGGAGCACCATAAATGAAAAAGTGAAACTAAATTAAATCATCACCAGTATTTCTGACATTTCACGTTTTCAGAGAATATTCTCCATATGATTCAAGATAGCGACGCCACCCATATCCTCACCACAGCGAGTGAAGCTAGTCGATTCTGCGACATGCGTGAGAAGCTGGACATGAAGGTACGCCGACACTAGGCGAAAAGGCTCTACACAAAGCTAGGTTTAGCGGAGTGATCTTCCTCGCTCGATTGTGGTGAATTCGCGGTTAAGCGCCGTTCACACACTTGCAACCGAGTAGGACGGAGAGAAACCAGACCGGTTTTTAAGGGGGGACACTAGCTTGAATTGCACCTTTTCTTAAAAAAATGTATATTCAGAACTGCAAAGTTTTGGCATGTATGATTAACAAAGAACACTCTCCCAAAGTCTAGTCAATGTGCACTGACAAACAATGTCAAAAATAATTATTCTTTATGTGTTGGCGAGGTGTGCTGCACTGCGTAGCACTCGTCATCCACAAGTGAAAATAGCTGAAAGCGATGTCAGTATATCAGAAGAAGTTTGAGGAAGACATCACCTACACTGGTGTAAAGAGTTTCTGACATTGAAGATGCAAAAATAAATTTTTAAAACGTCATCATGAAACTTCAAGTACATCTATCCCAGCTTCACTTTTTAGTATCAAATATCAGTTCAGGGAAGCTATCATTTCATAATCAAATTATGCGTGCAGATTTATGTTGGTTTTTCTATATTGAAATTTTCTGGAGAACACGGCTGCGAACTTACTTTCTGCATTTTTATGGTATTTTGTTATGAAAAGCTTATATTTTTTTAAGTCAAATGTACACCAAAAAACGTTTTTTTCCATATTTATGTAAACAAATTTTATAATTTTTGAAACTTCTTTTTATAGCCGTCTGAAGCAAGTATTCTGCTGTATGTTCCAGCAAAAAAACTGGCCATTTTCATTACCCTTTTTAAACGATAGCTTTCCTCATTAGATACACTTTTTTATTATGAACTTTTATGTAACTCATCATGGAATAAATTTATAGGGTTGAAAATTCCCACACCATCCTTGCCCAGTGCTATGAGTGCACCCTGAAAATTTCATGCAAATAAGACAAGCGGTTCAAAAGTTAGCCTTCCGGAGTAGCGTTTCCCCTTAAGCCTCTTGCGACGTCTTAGAACTAGCTCCGTCGCAGCGCATCCGGTCCTAAGACGTCGCAAGAGGCGTAAAACCCGGCCTCGTCTCTCTTCGTTCTACTCGTTTGCAAGTGTGTGAACGTCGCTTTATTCGCACGACGTTAAACCACCCACGCAAGAAGTTATTCCGGAACGGTACCTCGTCTGGAGTGGTTTGAGAGAGTAGAAAGAACGCCTCTGCGCTCAAGTGACAGGAATTGCTTTGCGTCTAGACGAACACATGCGTCAAAAGATCAAGAGGGAGTTTTACATTATACTCAGCTTTACGTCAAGTTCGACCGTATGGAACACTACAATCCGACAGAGGTAATCAAGCGGCGCCAAAGTGCACCGTCAAGGTGCTTTTTGTACGTTTGTTATCACCGGTTAAACCAATCGTACGCAGGAAATATACCAACAGCTTTTAGGCATACCATGCTTTGAAATGGCCTGAGCAGAGCGAAGCTTGCGCATTCCTGCGGAAGAGCGCGTAAGGGACCTCTCAATAGCCTTTGAGTTGGTGCACTGTCATCCGCGATGCACGACTTTAGCCGTGCTTCCCGCACGGCTCTGAGACCTTCTATAATTTTCTGATTTAATGGGTTTTCGATGACGCTCAGCAAGTTTCTGATTAGAACCCTGTGTTTATTTTCACCAATTACAAAGTTTACAAATTTTAGTTGTTCCATTTTCGTCTGGCAAATAGCCGCCTAATTATGCCCCCCTGGCAGTACGACTCACCTACGCAGACTAATGGAGTAGCTTTTACGGCCTTTTTGAAAACAATTTGTAAAGTATAAAAAACAGCCTTCATATATCTTGCAAGGGACTCCCTTTGGGTGGCTTGTCTCCAGGAATATAATCTTTCATCCATACTTTTAGCGTTTTGAACTTAGACGAAACCTTCGAAAATAAACCAATCTAGATTTGCCTTTTTGCCTGCGTTAAAGCAATGTCGGTATTTTTTTTTTTTTTTTAGATATTACCCGTGGCTTTGACTCATTGATTTTGTGATAATCGTCACGAGACAAATATCGGGAACAGTTCAAACTGCACGATCGTAAGGGTGGTTCGTGTAGTCGAGGATATCAGGCACATTTTACTTCTCGAAATGCAGTATGGGGCGGTTTCACATGACGCACTTCCGGTACGAAATCTCCGCCGGGGGCCATGTTGATAAACATTTCCCCGATGCCTTTGTGCACGGAGGCAGTGTTTTCCAGACCGAGTTCTTTTGCATCGTAGTGGACTGCTTCTGCCTGAGTACTCGGAAACCTAAAAGGTAGGGGTGTGCGAATATTGAAATTGTCGAATACGATTCAAATACGAATAAGACTAAAAGCACGGGATTCGAATATCGAATCTAATATCGAATATGTGTCTTGTAATAAAAAAATTGCAAAACAAGAGGTTACAGCAGGTGTTATCGCCTTTTTAAAATAAATCAATGCAACTGCAATTTACTGGGCTGCAGTAGGCTAAAGATGCTTCTAGTAAGGCGCTCATCACAAACTATCGTGTAGGAAAATTAACAGTTCAATATGTTCAGAAATAAGCGCTCCCTACGCGCCGTGACCACATTTCCGCCAGTAGAAAGACCCTTTAATCGGGAAACCTGCGAAATTTCACTAAAGTTTGATGAGGTTTTTCTTGTGGACAGTGCTACACGAATATTTCGAATTTTGGGAAACAACGAATTTAGAAATTACTTTATTTTATATTTTATAAAATGGTTGCGAATGTTTACATCATATAAAATCGAAAATATGCGCTTTTAACGCTTTCATTAGTTATTAATGTGAACCAGTGATGCCAATAAACCCAACAAATATTGCACTTTTCCTCCGCCAGGTAAGCCAACCAGTTTTTTTTTTTTTTTTTTTAATTTTGCGCATGCACACAGAAGTTGAATTTCAGTTGAATCTTTTTCGAACATCACGTTGAAAGCTCGAAAAACTCGTACTTAGTCGAACTCGAACCTGGGCAGGTGCGCGACATCCCGAGTTCTAACTGCGCGAGAGTGACAGGCGTTGTTGTCGATGGCGATGCAATGTTCTGCTCGCACATAGCTTTCTTTTTTTTTTTAAATTTTCAACCATTTATATTAGATAACACTCTCGAGATTTATTTTATATTTATATTTCACTCTTGAGGTTGATTTTATTGTATCAATCTATAAAATGCGCAATTACATCACATATTGCTATAAAAGCGCCACACAACAAAAGCTTGGTGAAAAAGAAACAGAAACTGATCTTGTCTTGGTGCCATCGGACAGATAGAAACAGAGCAGACCGATAACGCACGCATCATACGCCTTTCTTAGTGAATAAACATATTCATAGGAGAATGTGTGGCAAGCAGATTATTCGATACTTGCTCAAATATTCGTAGTTTGTGCCAATATTCACCGGTTTCCCCAAATATTCTTCTTTGGCTGAATATTCGGGAACTTCCGAATATGCAATTTTTAAATCGAATACGTTTGAAATAAGGAAAATATTAGATTCGTATTCGAAATTTCTAATATTCGCACACCCCTAATAAACAGGAATCAGCTCATACTCAATTGTTATTCGAAATTAGGACAAATCGACTACCGGGCTTCATTGGAACTTAGGTCGAGCAGGTGTAGGGAAGTAAACCTGACGGCGGAAAAAAACCCCTCGGTAGATGCTGCCGTCGCGATTTCGAAAGAATAAAAAGTGAAATAGGCGTTCGTTTATACTACCGAAATAGACCTCCGGTCGTGCTTACTAAGCTCTGTAGTCGATGGAGTCATTCGTCACCGTGTGCGTTCCACCAACACCAGAAACGAGGCCAATAACTAGGCGTATGTATGCAATCTACTGGAAAAAAGTGGCGTTCACTGTTCGGCAACATGGCAGAACGCTGCTTAACGGAAGTCAAAATGCGTTTCGTGAACCCTCTATAGTTTTTCCAACCATTAGCTGACCGACCGGGGGAAAAGGTCATGACATCACGTTAAATGTTTTCAGGGCTACTTCACCACAGGAACCGCTCCTGGATTCGTTTCTGCGACCGAGTTCAAAGAACTCAGTGAGAGAACCTACCGGGAATTCCCAGTGGAGGAGCCAAAGAACGAACTTGTCGTGCTTTTGTACACGTCCGGCACAACGGGTCGACCGAAGGCCGTGGAACACACGCACTACAGCATTGCGGCTTCTTTACCTCGCTCAGGGTTGGTTTCGCAATTTCTGTTTATGTTTTGCCACGCTGATTGGGTGTGCGCCAGCCTTCGCTGTATTCGATTGCAATATAAGGTTCCTCGGGGAACTTCCGTCCCCTATTAGCGAGAAAAAAGCATTCAGACATCTCATATACTGAGGAAAAAGATTCATTAAAAAAATATAAGAGGCTAATGTCGAATAATATTAGACGGGACCCTTCAACGGAAGATTTGATTATCAATTCTTGCCTTCGGTATTTTGTAAACTCGTTGCACTTTTATATCGCACACTATTTTTTTACATAAGGGGGACGTTTAATATAGTTAACCCACCTAAATGTACTTAGACCGTACACTGGGACGAGACAGTGTTAAAGTTTTATTAGTTGTCTAACAGAAACAGTTGATCAGCTTTTTCTTTTTAACTAAGGTATTATCAAGCTTCCGGTGATCACGATGTCGCTGCTTCCTGGGTACCCATTACAGCGGCTATGGGGTTTCGGAATTATCTTCGACTGGCCTGTTCTGGAGCGAGGACTGTTCTTCTGTCGAAATCAGCTGGGATAGAAAAAATGCTAGACACAATGAAAAAGTACAAGGTACGGCACAAAACATTATAATTTACATCCGTTGCTAATATTGTTGCGTGTAGTGTCGATTAACCGACCGCTTAATCAAGTATTGTTTTATCTGCGATTAGTTTTGTTACCGGATATTTTGTAACATTCTGACAAAAAAAAAAAAAAAAAGTACAAATGAAACACTTCCACCACGCGGATGTGGACGAGTACATCTGTATAAAGGGTAAACTTTAGGTAAAATTGTAACTAAAATTAAACTGTAGGAGCGAGATTTGTAACTCCAGACAAGGTGCAGGAGATTACACCTGTCCCGGCCACTTGAATGCCGTGCGAGTATCCATTTAGTTCAGCAGAGGCTATTGAAAACAATCAAAGAAGTGTTTATGATAAAGCAAATAATGCAAAGGTGCAAGCAAGCAGGACAAGAACGATGAAAATAATCACAGGAGAAGGAAAACAAGGGGACAAAGTACAAACTCAAATCTCCAAACACAGCTAGGTGACTAGTGCGTGACTGAAAAAATCCGCGTGTGTTATCATCATTCAAAGGAGATCGCTCTTGCCGAAGAATATTGACAAGCCCCTTTGACTTATGCAGATGAACCAATAATCTGCGAGCGTGAGTGTCTTTGAACTGTTCTGAACTAAGATTGAGGTTGATTTATAATCGAAATTGTATATTGCGCCGTTTATCGCATGTTCAGCGAAAGCCAACAAAATATTATACTGAATTGTTTTAAAAATAAATGTATAGAAATGAACGAGACCGATCAATTAATAGATTAAAGGGTGGCAAGTAATCAGGTAAAACATTTAATCGACGCCCAGCCTTAATTGCGCAATGTCTAAGCACTCGATTGTTTAACCATTGGGACATAAGTATGTATGTATTATGTGTGTGCATGTACAGAGTACTCAACTGTTAAATATAACGCGGCAGCGGTGGCCGGAGAGACTGCATCCGTCATCTGCCGGCTCACTCTGGCAGCTTATGCCGCTCTTGTTTTCTAGAGTTACACTCCCAGCTCCGAAACAATCACCGATGCGTGACTCGGCGATAAAAAGAAAACAAACAAATGTCGCTCTTCGATTTCGTTTTTTTTTTTTTTTGTTATTTAAAGAAGGTGGCTTTTATCAGAGAAACTGCAAGATCCCTTCGATATGGTAGCCCCGCATGGGTGTGGCAGCCCCGCATAGGTGTGACTAAACAGAATGGCAAAAACAACAAAACAAACAAGTAAAAATTTAAAGCTATAATTGTATCGGGGAGTGCCGACAATCGCTAGAAGAGCCGCCTTATTTTCTGCCGCATCATTGGTTTAATCGCTAGACAGCCATGATGTCAGTTTCAGCCGCCGCTCTTGCGTCATATTTAGCAGTTGAGCACACTGTGTGTATGTGTGTCAACGAGGTAGAGGGGCTTAGAGTGATAAACCGGAAGTTCGGAAGTGGCACCCCCCCGGTTGCCGCCATATTTTACGCAAATGTGACCACTCGTCACGTGACCTCGCAAGAGCCGTGACGTCACAGGTAAGATGGCAGCGCCCAGACGCCCAGAGCTGGCGGATGCGAGTTTGTTCGGTGCGCGGTAGCCGTGATGTGCAGCTGCTTTCCGACGACTTCGGGCTTCTTCGTGCTCGCTAACGCAGGTATAATGTGAAAATATGAAGGAATGAGACTTTATACCGTTTTTGCGCAAGATCGCTCTGGATCATCTGGATATTAACGCCTGTGAGACAGCATCAGCTCTGCATCGCCGTACCGGTGCTTGGATTCCGGGATGTGTCCGAGGATCGATAGAACTTTGAGTGCTTTTAACATGAAATTTTCGCATTCTCTTAGCTTTGTTTGAACGTTGAAATATCTGAGAATCTACGCGAAATGTATACGTCGCGTTAGGGCCTAAGGGAAGTTGTTTCAGCCCTCCGTCACCTAACAACCATAGCAACTTTTAGCGAGGAAGCTCCTGCGATTTTAACCTTTTGTGCTAATCCACGATTCTACATTCGATCGCTTTTCTTCCTTTTTTTTTGTGTGTGTGTGTGTGTGAGTGCGAAGTGCACCCTTATTTTCAGCTACGTGGTTGGCGTTTTATTGAGTATGGGGAAGAATAAATCGTTGCAGGCACCTGCTTCAAAGCTATTCGACTTGCTATAAAAACAACTGTTTTGGTGCATGCATAGGTTAACTGCGCATTTTTTCTGTTTTGTAGGATTTATTGCAGCTATACTCTTTTCCATCAAGAGTGCGTTGTATTAGTCGGTCAATTATTTAATTGTTCTAATTACCTGGATAAGATGATTCATATTTGTGTTCATCCCTTGCCTGGAGAGCAGTCTTGTTGAAAAATGTTGACTACCATTCCTTTCGGTCTCTTCGAAAGACTCTTTTTAAAAGTGTGGGCTGTCTATACTTCGCATCACCGTAACTTGGAAAAGGCCAACCGCCACAGCCCCCTCGAGCCAATCAGAGAGACGGAGCGAAGGTGTGTGACAAATCTGTGCAGACGAGCACTCTGGTGATATGCTGTCATGTGCCTCTCTCCAATGTGTATATTGACTCACCGAGACCGTAGCCTTTGCCGTCCGCCAAATTCTGATGAAACAAATTACAGTAGCTACTATTGTAATTACCCCAGGCTTTCATACTTTGGGTATTTGTTCGACAAGAATGTTATGTCCGCCATCCCTGTGAATTCGGCTCAGCACCTATTGGACTCGAATGCTGCATTGGCGTTCGACGTGAACTGGGGCCCATTCGTGTGCTTAGCGCCGAAAAAAATGGTGACGGTTGTGTTGCTTGATAAGGTTCTGAAAGGGTCTATTGTGTCATACATATAGGAAGTGTCATGCTATATAACAATGCATCAACACATACTATTAAACTATATGCTCAGAGGTGTGTTTGTTTTTCCAATTAGCAAGTTACAGCAGTGTGCTTTAATGCTATTATCATGTGTGTAGCTTTAAGTATCCTCTCTGCAATGCCTACGAAGGCCCCTGGAAGGAATAAATTAATAAATAACATTTCCACATTACTGGAGTTGGTTTTTGGGTGCACCACATGTTCAGGAAAGGTTGAACGAGTGCAGCCCCTTGCAAGAAGTCTGCCAGTCTGGTATGACCCCTTAATTAATATTGAAGGGTCAGAGAAGCGAGTGTCCTCGTAACGTCCAGAGCGTGCAATGGACACAATTCTCGGTGTGTAGACTCTCAAGGCATGAAGGCAAGCGGAAATATGTTTATCTGGTTAGTGTATCAAATATGTTAATTTCCACTTGATTACATAATTATTGATTCTTAGTAAATAGTTCCATAACGAGTTCTTTCTGCGACAGTCTCGTGTCAGGCGTTCAGTCGTAGTACCTGTGGACCTTGTTGTCGGATGACGCTCCTGGCACGTCGGTGTTCAGTTTGGTCGAGTGGCAACTTTGACCGACTGATGCTGTCTTGTAATCATACGTCATGTGCACTGAAGCTGCAGGGCTTGCTTCTAATACGAAAATTTTCCTGGTAGTTTTCGGCATCAATGTAGCAAGCTCGGGCATGTATTGCTTACGTGACTGTGCCTTTTGCTGCACCGTTGACTTGAAAGCTGGCAACAATTTTTGTTTGCTATCCAAGTCTGGTGATGCTTGCAGTTCACTTTTGAGAGCAACCAACCATTCTATTCCTTCAAGTCACTCAGGGGCATTCTCCCTCAAAGTTGGAAATTGTGTGCTTCGTGGAGTGTACACAGAAAATTGGTGTCAGCAAATTTTTAGGTATTGTCCTTGGACGACAACCGACACCAAATCCACTGTCACTGCATCGCCGCTCACCTGCTTTGTCGTGCTTACCTCTTGTTGATGTGATGGACATGAGGAGCTTTGGGGTAATCAGGGATTCAGAATCTTCGATTCAGCACCTTCGGCATCAGGGACAAAGGTCGCCGAAGGTAATCCTTAATCTCCCGTGGTCGCTCCTCGAGACGTAATCGAAGGTCGTTTGGCACGAACCCTCGCCGACCAATTCATTGGTACGGGCTGCTTTGGTAGATATGGTCGGCTTCATGCAGTGGTAGCAAAGTGGTTTTCGGTCGCACATTCGCATCACCTACGTTTTCCTCGGTGTACTTTGTTGAGCGCAGTCCTACACACGATGTCGGGAATGCTTCGGCGTTAGAGTGTCTCATTGATTTGGCATTGAATACTAAGGGGCAGCCGGTAGCGGTCGTCGTGCCATTGTGGCGTAAGTTGCCCTTGGTTTGTCAGATACCGCTTCGCTCGCAGAAGTCTCGGTTGAAATACCTGTCAAACTTGTTCCGAAACAATCTCGGCAATTAAAATAAAAGCCGGGCAACTGATGGCAGGAAGTAGCTTCCTGATCTCCTCCCAGACAACGTCGTGGGTGATGTCATGGATGCCTGGGAGGCTGGCGTCGAAGTAGTAGCTGGACAACTCGAGTGTCGAGACGCCGGGAAGTTGTTCATAGTGGCAGGCTCGGGCATGCAGTGCACATTCCATGTTGGAAGCCTCAGTGATATGAACACTTCGACTGTTGTTGGGGGGTTGCGGACAAGGCCGCCGAACGTGTTGTCCCTCACGTGAGGCGCATGGGATTCTTAGGTTCTTGTCTTCTGTAGCATCAAGGTCGGCGTGGGCGTGGGTGTGGGCGCTCGATCAAGCGCAAAACATCCTCCACGAGTTCGGTGGCGCTCTCATTGGGGCAATGTCCTGGGCAAAATCAAGAATGCGGCTCTCTTTCGTTGATGTTGGCTGACGGATGCGCGCTTCAGCTTGATCTTGCAAACTTCCCATGACGTTAAGGAGGATCCATGGTTCTCAGACCAGCGCCGGCAGTTGCTTCTATGAGAAGTATAGGTTCTGCAGGAGCTGGTTGTCTGTCCACCCAATGTGGCGGGCGACACTGTCATATTGTTCAATCCAGTCCTTGACGTCTTCATACAGCTTGCGTGAAAAAGCGTCGGAGTGTGATTTGCGACGGGCATGCAAACAATGGTGGGAGGGGACACGGTTT